CAAATCTGGAATGTGCGGTTCTACCTCCTTCCAACAACAGTGCAACAATTCCTCTGGATGCGGTATTTAAAACAATCATAGCTCTAGATCGGATCGCTGATGAGAGTGCTCTGTATACGAAGGTTTTTTTTGTGCCTCCATAACCATAAAGAAAGAACACTCCACCGCTATCATTTAAAACTGCATCCAGAATCTGGTTATATACCAATCTTTGCTCATCTGTTATCATCGCCATAAGTCTTTCATTTTCCTTTAGCTGATCTTCCACAACATATTTAAGCTCATCATCTATAAGGCGGTTGCCGTTGTAACAGGCAAAATCTTCTGGCTTTGGCATGTGGGGCCATTTATTGAGGCTACGACCATTGCTGAGCAAATGATTTTCGTTCTCAGTCAGAGAAATATTTTTGATCTGCTATATGCTCAAGTTCATATCTGCAAGTTTTATAATTTTATTAGATCACAGAGAGAGTTTCAAATAAGGAAGTTTAGTAAGACAAAACTGACCAGGTCGTCCAGTTTCTCGGCGCTTCTTGTAAAGGATATCTTCGGTGAGATACTCCCAAGAAGCTTCTCACACAACATGAGGCTGAGATAACGTTTTGGATTCCAACATTCTCGCAAAAAGCTTCCTGGCATACGTGGCAGAACTATTGTCAGTGGCCTCTTTGATAGCTTCAATGAATTCCTTGTCATCATCCATCAATCCCAACGCATAGCAAGCATCTTCGTATGTAGGATATAAAATACCATCAACTGTTTTTATATCCTCGTATGATATCGGACCTCTTACCCAATTTAGCAATACTCTTAAAAATTTTAGCTCATCACCTGACGGATGAATATGCACAATCCTCCCTATCGCAAAGCCTCGTTTCCTTGGTACCCATTCTCTCGTAGCTGATTTCCAGACAAATTTAGTTGGGAATTCAGCATATGTCAACTCTCTTGCCTCTGGATATTTTTTGTTTGCTATGAACCAGGCCAAAAACATGGATTGGTTGACAGTCTTTTTGTTGAGAATACTCTCAATAGGCTCATCTTCATAAAAAAACACCAGCTCCTGATCCGGAAGATGAAATCCAAGTTTCTCAACAGAAGTAGTGCGGAAATGTGTAGGAAAAGCAAGAATCCTCCAAGACGACTCGCATGCCATAATATATCTAATTAAGAAATACGGAAACAAAAATTAGTAAAGATGAACGTATACCTTAAAATGCAAAAGAAAATTAAACTCTGTGTATTAATAATGTATTTATTCATTCATGAACTCTTTAATAAAATTAAAAATAGTTAAATATATAATAAATAATAATGGCGTAAAACACTTAGTTAAGGGTTATTAAATGGTCAATATTATAAGCAATTTTACTATATTTTAAGGTATACATAAGCCATATTACTATCACGTAAGCCATTTTAATAAATTTATTTTGAAGCCTAAATAGGTTTTAAAAATCTGTTTATTAACTATGTTATATATTCATTTATGAAGTTATTAACTTAAAAAAAGTGAAATTTATATATTATAATAATGGCGTAAAAAATTTAGTTAGTAACATATGTTTCAGACTGCAGTAACACTCAGTATATTAATTTAATAACTTAGTAATGTATTTATTCATTTATGAAGTTTCGAGTTAATAATGGCATAAAAAAGTGAGTTACATAAATTTAGTGGTCGATGGCACTGTTCAAATTTGTATATTTTAAGCTATACACTACTCTATTTTTTTTTAAATCTAAAATAACAATAAAAACTCTGTTTATTAAAAATGTATTTATTCATTTAGGAAGTTATTAAATTTAAAAAAAGTGAAATATATATTAAATAATTATGTCACCAGAATACCGATTTATATACGGTTCATGGTAACCATTATACGCCAATTTAGAAATTCAGATTCAAGAATTCTATTTATTTTCTACGGATGATGGATTTCTTGCTGAGTTTCTACTGAATTTAATATATGTTAGTTATAAATTTATAGAATTTAGTAATTTGTATAGACTAAAACGATTTTTTAAAACTAAAAATACCTGCAGTCGTAATATGTTTTAATTTCGTCAATGACGCCATCCTCATCTTCCATATCCATTGCAGCTGAAGCATAATTAGGCCCCTTATGAATATATTTGAAAAGATACTTAACAGCTCGTGTTTGGACGCACCACTCGACATTCATATGTGCGCGATATCGGAGCATGAGGTCTCTATTGTATGGTACAACATATCCATTGTCTAGTCTGATTCCATTATGTCAATGAACCTACCACCAATGCGAGTCATGTAAGCTGGAAATCCATTTGCGTCAATCGATTTTCTCATGTTGAGAGGTTTTGGAAACATCTTAGAACATTTACCGTTAACCATACATACATTATCCTTCTTTGCTGCTCCGCAAGGACCATGCATCATACAATCCCCAACGATTTCATACAGGTCTGGATCTACTGTCGTGTCTGGTATTTCAGCAGAAATAATCTTATCTACATCATCGGCTGTTGGAAATTTAGATCCTTTTTCCATGAAAACAAAAATATGAGCGTGTGGCATTCCTCTTTTTTGAAACTCAATCGTGTACATTACTAACAAAATGAAAAAAGGTTTCAGACAATTTTAATCAACAAATATACTATATAAAGTATCTGTTTAATAAAAACAATTAATATAATTATACGGATAACATATGTAAGGAGATTTACCTGCAGCAGTAGGACCAAATAAGGTGCCGTTCTTTTTTGTCAACTCGCCGACAAGATTATCGAGTTTCATCTTAAAAACTCTACACAATATTTCAGGCCTTTCTTCGGTGGTCAGGTTATATTTTTTCAGATACCTTGTAACTTCAGGCCATTTTGGATTGCACGTAAAAGTGATGAAAATATCTGGAAATCCATGATACTTGCACATAGACATGGCATCATAGTAGTGCTGCTTCATATACCTTTTTCCTCAGGTGAAAGTTGCTGGAATGAAAATTCGGCTCCCTTGCTCAGCCATCTTAGCTCCACCTCTTGCAGGTGCTTTCTGGATTGCATCGTAACTGCTAAACCGGAGCTTTTTCTGATTCAGCCACAAGTAACACAGTCTACTCGATTCTATCATTGTGTAGGCGTCCACAAGGAACTGATGAAACAATCTGCCTGATCTTGTAATTGCAGGTGCTTCCCACCTCCTCTCTAAAATCCGAAATGCAAAGTACTCACGCATAGTTACATTCTTGCGCTTTCTCGCAGTGCTGTCATCAAAACCAATAGGAATATTTAATCGAAAGCCATCCTCTCCATATGGAAACAACAGTGGATATTGCAGAGGAAAATAAGCCGGATGTAATTCACTTATCCTTTGCAACTTTCCACTTGTACTCTCTAGAAAAATATCTCGAGGTTCCATATTTAAAACGAAATCTCCAGGTATCAAAGCAGCCACTTCATTTGCAGTCGGAAGATTATGGGTCCGTCCATCAGATTGTTGACTCTCAATCAACCTCATCCTATAACCTGTAGTTCCTTCCACATCGAATCTGTCTCTTGCAGACCTAAAGGCCTTAACATGAGGGTTACACTGATCTAACATATTCTTCTTCAGAAAAACAAGTGGTTCTCTTAGTTTCTTAGCAGCAGCTCTGTCAGACCTGCAACATATGTTTTTTAAAAAAATATAAGTTCACAAAACATGGACCATACTGCAGTCTGAACAATATATATCGACATATTAAATTGATATAAATTATTAAAAAATACCCGGCATAAGCTTCAAGTCTATTTCTGATCTCATTCAAAGTATTAATGATATACAGCTGCGAAAATTTGGAAGCTTGTCCAGGCTCGGGGACTATATCACCAATACGATGATAGTTCTCACCAGACATTCAGAACACAAATGGTCCACGACTATTGTTAATAGAATGATCAATCTTGCCCCCAAGAGATGTGAAAGAGAACATCATATTGTAAGCTCGTATGAACTCTCTAAAATGTTTTCTTAACTCGTCTCCCTTGCAAAACAAAGTCATTAACTCCATTGGAGGATTCGCGAGCCGAGGAAGCACAACTTTACCAATTTTACAGCATATTGTGAAGACATGATTGGAACTACGACGGCGTTTTCCAATTCTTTCACCATACCACATATATGCTTGACAATGTTTACAATTCCAAACTGGATCTTCGTCGTCGTAATAACCTGTTTAAGAACATATCATCATTAAGAAAATATATGTTTATGGAAAATTATTTATATAGGCTTATCAGATTTTTTAAATTATTATAAGAGATTCTAGTATATTTAAATAAGCTTGAATATTAATTTATAAAATTTATTGAACTATTTATTTTATATTAAATGAGAACTCATTTATTTATAATAATTATAATGTTACAATCAGAATAAATATTTAAATTTGAGAACGACGTGATTACCGTTTTTCTGTATCCAGATGATAATAGGCGATGTAACTGTATGATTCGTTTGTTGTGCGATATGTTGTGGTGATGGGTTTATCAAAGACTCTCCAGCTGGATAGTTAGTGTAAGTTTGATTCTCGTCATCTTCATTTTCACTTTCAGACTCACTGTCCATTTCATATCGATTATTGTAAGCTGCGTGAAAAATTGTATGACATAGTCAAAACATATGATCGATAAATATAATTTTGTGTCTCATGTATATAGATGGAAAATACATTTTACCTTCAGGATGGTCCTCCACGATGAACCTTGGTGAAGGAACGAATACATTTGTTTTGGCTTGCTGTAATGGACTTTGAATAGCTGAAAAATATTAATTTAAACATATAAACAGAAGTCTAGAGCAGACGAGCAGAATAATAGCAGATATATATTAGTATTTAACTTTAATGAGTCATAATATTACTACAATTATAACAGAGGATAAAAATACCTTCAGGATTTTTATCTGTTAGAAACTTGGAAGAGTCGGATTTGATTGTCCTGTCATGTTGTGACCTTGCCTTGCTGTTAATATTTGCTTAAGTTTAGTCGCACTTTATTGAATAACAGAATATAATAACTATACGGATTCATTATGTAAGAACCATTGTTACCTTTCGTTTGTCTTCTCTTTGAATTCACCAATGGAGGTGATCCAAGAGTCTTTCGTTTCCTGGCTGAAATGTTGGTACTCCGTTGAGACCCTTCTTGGTTACCAATTCTACCTAAAAAGATGACATTATGTTTTATACGTAACTTGTAATTGTGCGAAAGCCTAATTATTAGTCTTAACTACTTCTTTGTGATCCCTAATACAAAGCGATACCAATATAATATGCAGTTATTACTTACCTATGCTATTACTCGCAGGGTGCGGGCCGTTTCCAGAACCACTCAAAATTACACTGGTAGGTGAACTTTGCGTTTCAATATGGGGGCCTGCAGATATAAGTAAAATGAACATATCAATAAGCAAGCTAGTTATGAAAAGGGTTCTTCCAGTAATTCTTCCTAAATTTGTGATTTCTGTTGATTGTAATGAAACTTATACTCGAATTTGGTACAAGTGATGGCTTTGTTGGCTTGAAAATCCTTGTAACTCCTTCAATGTAATGAAAATAAATTAGTCAGTTAAGTTCTTATTGTCAAGAGATTAATAAAAATAAACATGGAGAAAATGAAAGCTCTAAGGAGACTTACCTCTATTTGAGGTAGTAAGGCCTGTTGTTCTTCTGTTATCCAGGATTTCCTTTCTTGCAACTCTTGCTCTCTGTGTCCCATGTTTAAAACTTTGAAAAACACAACTTAATGGGACAGTATGTGTCAATGAATTTTCAACGAAGTTTGACGGATTAGACTGTGATGGGCGTGGAATAATGGGTCGAAATACTTGATTCGTAACATTCTATAAGGGCACCCTAAAATGATTTTGGATACTTGGTGAAGGTGAAACATCTGTGATAGATGAGTTTTGTGTTTTTTTCCCCACAACTGTATTCTCTTTGTCATTGGTACCTGCGTTTCACAACTCGAACACAGTAACCCATATCATTAGAACGTAATATGATCATTATTTTTTTTGTTCAGTACAACGAACCCTTTAGAACACTATTCATTTTTTTTTTCAGTAGAACATACCCTCTTTGGCTTTCTTATGTGATTTATTCCCAGTGTCTGTCGACACTACATTGCTTCTCTTCATGCTTCCAAATCCACATGAAAGCTTGTGTTTTTAGTAAGAACAAAACACTATCTGTATATTGAATCTTATGTACTTGCGAGAATACGGATTGAATAAACTAATTATGTTTTATAGTAAATCGAAGAAATCGAGTGCAGAAGCCGACGTCTGTTTTGAAAATATAATATAGAGAATACGGTTTGATTTTGTATCGAAAATTAATAATAGAGAAATAACCTAATTCATTATGTGATAGCCACTTTAAAAATATGTACAATCCTTAAAGATTGATAATATTTCCTTATTAAAGTGTTGCCAAGAAAATATATGATATATTTAGGAGAACACTTTATGACAATATAATTCTTATTATCTTATTTTACCTTGTTTGCACTTGCAATTATGATTTTCTTACAATCTCCTTTTTTTACGACGGATGGATTCTGTTTTCAAGATTAATAATAGAGAAATAACATATTTCATTACGTGATAGCTACTTAAAATATATGTATAAATCTGTTAAAGATTTATAATATTTCCTTATCAAACTGTTGCCTTATTCTACAGTTTATTACTTGCGCAAGTAACTACATGTACCATATTGGAAAACGCTTTATGATAAGCCAAATACTTAAAACTGTGTTAAATTCCAATTGTATCAGTTTTCTTGGAAATTTAATAAATTGTTACATAATAAATATTATATAATGGGTAAATCGATTAAAGGAGCTGAAAACAAAAACGAAACAAATGAGAGGAATTATTTGATGATGATAACTATAAAACCAAAAACAAGGACACTGGGAAAATAAATAAAAATTTAAGAAAACATGCACAAATCAAATACTGAGGTTCATCCACTTTGACATGCACCATGGACTTCAACTTTCTCCATTTCTTTTGGACTATTAAGCAGCTCATGTAAATTCCTCTTCCGAGTCATAATCATTAAAAATCACAACATGTGGCTGCACAAAATGTTGCACTTGGGTAGAATATATACTGCGTATTTTAATATTGAGTTAAAATATAAGTTAAATCTTACATGTGGATGAAAGTGTTGAATTATTTATGCATCGTCAACCACTAAATCAACAACATATGTTGAATTTTGATCTTTCAGACCATAAGAACTGATAGTGATCCAAAATAAAACTTTCCTCCCAATTAAATCTGTTAGAGATTGAGGTAGAATATGTGGATTTTCCTATAAAAAAATTAAAATTACGGTTCACAATCAATAGAATTGTATGTTATATTCCTTACTCCCCCTTTATTAGAAAAGCCATAGAAATACCTCAACAGCCTCTTGGACTAACTCAAAAGCAGGTCTCCTAATGAGTTTCTGAGCAGCATTGTTGAAAAGCAAAAACTTGGCTTTTGCTTTTGATTCATCAGATACAAGTAAAACCAAGTAGTAACTAAAAAATACAAATTGTAATTAGTTTCAGTACATGTAATAATATGTGATTATAAAGGTAGCAAGATTGATGAATATACAACAGCCATACCAGTGAATAACATGTTCAACATCCTTCTTGCATGCAATGCAATTGTATTGACGATTCAAATAAACATGGTTGTCAATAGCATCAAAACCATCTCCTTTTCTTACCACTTTTCTATTGCAAAAATTGCAGGCAGTGTAGTACCATGAGTTTTTCCGAATCAACAGCCTCAATTGTGGAAACAACGACGTACTGTCCAGCCTATTTTGATTTATTTCAATGATAACAAAATAAATATGTAGTGATATCATATTTGAATTAGTTAAAACCAAAATTATAAATGCTTGACCGCCCTAAGACAATAAAATATTTACCGTTCTTGACTCAATAATTTCAGAAATTGTTTTCTTCATGCTTTCCATTGCTTCAAAAATTCTGTGTATTGACAAAGAAAAAAAAACCACAACTTAATCGTTTTTTATAACCTAATGGCAATCGTCGTAATATAGAAGATATAGAGTGGAGATTGTAACCTCTTTGGCAACTTGATGGATATAGAATGACTGCGCATATAAAGTGTATTTATAAGAGCAAGCTGAGAAACCTAGGTGCTATAAAATATACGCAAAAATTATATTTGGTAAGAATAAGGCCATGAATAGGTATCAAGTAATCGTTTAATTCTATAATCTTTTATTAAGAAAGAAATAAGGAATGTCATCATTTATTTGAATGAAAAGATCCATGCAAAATGAGACCAACCGGCAAATTTCTAAAAAAACTTAAGAAAATCCTTTAGTATTATTTCCATTTTTAATAGTTTGAGCTACAATATATTCAAATGCATAAGATTAAGGAAAATGAGTAGTGGTCAAGTAATATATTCAATATTCCGATATCGGCATCAGCATGAAGCTATAATAGAACAATGATATACCTTTGTTTTTTCGTCTTTTTTGCCTAACTATTTACGTAGGATTTAGTTTTGATATCCTTTAGGTTTGTACGTTTGGAATAGTTCTTATCTCCTTTAGGTCAAAAGTATTTGAATAAACTCAAATGGGAAAAAAAACTATCAACCTCCGATCATTGCTGGAAAAGAGTCAAGAAGACACTAAGTACAATCCCAAATATTATGGAGCGAGATTACTATACAAATATGGTCAACTTTCAGCCACAAACAAATTGCAATCTCGATAACATGGCTAAAGTATGCAAGCATAGTTACTGCTACAAAAGGCTTCACCAATTTTTTCAGTTTGCTATAAGTAACAAGTAAAGCAAGGAGAGTTGTGACCCAACTTATCTATGCACGCATGTAAAATAGTTGTCTTTGTTTCATGTTTATTTGGTTTTATTAAGTGTCTCTATTTGCTTATTTGCTACTTTGTTCATTGTCCAAGAAGTTCTACTCATCACTCTTCTTATCCACCATCAATTCTTGTTCAGCCATTTTATCGATCACAAAAGGTAAAGTTATTTAACATCTGAATTTAGCTACTTTAAACTACAATTACTTGTTTATTGAAAAAGAGAAATAAAGCTTTAATTATAAGAGCCAAGAGGTTTATAATTATCCAGAGTTCCAGACGCAACAACTTACTTTTTCTTTAATCTTTGCCTATGTATAAGCTAAAGCCAATCAGTAAATAGAAGTATAAAGCTTAATTAAATCAGCCAGTAAATAGAAGTTACCGGTCATAAGCCATGACCCATATCCGGCTCAATTAAATTGTAAAAACTCTCCATTTTATCAAATTGAGCAATAAAAAGGTAAGAGATGCATAACCTTCTGGTTCGGCCGCTCGGTATGTCATAACTCACTACCACCGTCGTGTTTAAAATCTCCAGCGAGAATTCAGCCCTCAATTGATGAAATAAGTTAACAGATTCGCTCTCCGATCAATAATATGTGATCATCAACATCTGCTACTCCCATGAAAAACCCTAGGAAGCAAAGAGGAAGAAACTCTCGAGATCCATAGCACTGGTCTTCTTATTAATTCTCTGTTGATAATGGACGAATCGGAGGGATCTGATTCTTCTTGGCGATTTATCACTNAATATGTGATCATCAACATCTGCTACTCCCATGAAAAACCCTAGGAAGCAAAGAGGAAGAAACTCTCGAGATCCATAGCACTGGTCTTCTTATTAATTCTCTGTTGATAATGGACGAATCGGAGGGATCTGATTCTTCTTGGCGATTTATCACTTAATCCTCTCTTTCTATCTTCTTCACCACTCTAAATCATGTGGTTTAGGACTCCCCTTTTTATAGATAGAGATTAACCGACTGGAAAAGAGAAGAGATGCTTTGAATGAGGAATCGTGCTTTGTATAAGAGTTAAGAAGGTCATTAGTGAAACCGATTAAATGAATCCAATAACGGTTACAGATTCTCTTTGCCATGGAGAAGGAATCTAGACGAACCGACAGATCGTTCCAGAAAATTCTAAATCGGTTTTTCAAAGCGAGAGGACGAAAGACATGATGAATCCTAGTACGGACTAAATCATTGAAAACGAAAAGGGTGCATGTTGGGTTATAATAGGTTTGATCAATCAACATAACAACCCATTTTCATTTCCTGGATGAAATCTGAAAAGGCAGTCGCAACCCTAATTGATAAGTCAAAGGATGGTCTTCATGGTTTCCTGGGCTGGGTATTTCTAATCGAATGAGGCCCAACAAATATATGTATGAAGCCCGTTTGATTTGTTAGCAAGGACACGTGTCCAATTCTCTTGATCTGATTTTATGACATCATCAAGTGACGTGTGTTGATGAGAAGAGAGTGAAGTTGTTCTTTATATATAAAGATCTTTATAATAATTCTCATAATTGAGAAAACCATCATTAACGTCAGTGTCTTTAACTAAGATTCTTTATTTCGGGGAATAGACAGTTCTTACCTTTTCTAATATTTTTTTTTTAAAAAACTAACCATCATTTTTTAAACAAGAGACATAAAAATCCGTCTCTTAACCGAAAAATATTAAAAAGAAAGAAATTTTTTTTTATCAAATCATGAATTAAAAAACTTGATTAAGAGACCAGAATTAATCATACCCTAACATATCAATAAATCTATGTAACTATTTTTCTTATTATTCTACTTTCAAAATAACAGCGAGAAAATTTGCACTTAAATTAAACTGTTATCACCTTGTCAGTGAACAAGTCTTGCCTTTAATTTAAGGCTTATTATAATGACAGAAGAACCAAATCACAACTTATTTTATTTACAAAATGAATAATGACGATGAAGAAGAGGTTGGTTCAACTGCTTAAATGGGTCTGAAGAAGCTTCCTCGCAGCCAATATAAACCCTGTAAACGTTTCCATTTACAAGAATCTAATGAGTTTTAGAGATAAAAATGTCTGCCTGAGATTGGAGACAAAGTGTCTTTCGAAAAGATAACAAAGACTTGCCTAGAAA